CGTACCTACATCCCTCTCACCTCACTTTTGTAAGCCAAGCACGGGGTCTAGCTACCCAAACCCAACCCCAAACCCAAACCCAAACCCAACCCCAAACCCAAACCCAAACCCCAACCCCAAACCCCAACCCCAAACCCAACCCCAAACCCCAAACCCTTTGAAAAAGAAAAATTTTTAATTTAGATAATCTTGAAGGAGAATTACTTTTTATTTTTAATTTTTGAACCTTGTCTAATTTGTTGAATGAACCTTTAAGGTAGTTTGAACTGTAATTTTAACTCTTGTGATGACAGGTTTTATTTGAAAAAATAAATACTTAAGTATGTTTCAATTAAAACAATCGAAATACTAAAATATTCAATCCTTCTATTATTATTATGAAAATTCACACATAAAATGACATGAATTCATAATTAGAAAATATAATACAAAATGGTTAATTAGAATGGATTTGAAATTCGATATGTAAAATTGGATGCAATTGCTCTGACAACCTTTTATAAATTTCATATATAGTCATTACTAGACTAACTAATCAAAGTTATTTAATAGATTTAATTTAATTATTGAAATTTAGGATGAAACAACATTTTCCACTATCTTTTCAAAAGCCAACAGCAAAAAAAATACTATTAAATAGAATATTTGTAGGAGAATCCTAATAAGTCGCCTACATATACTAAAGTATAATATCAAACTTAATTTGATAACTTAAGTAAAAATGAATACCTATTTAATTAAATATTGTTTCAATTTTATTAATATATATTAATAAGCTTTTATTTAAATTAATTACATTTCCATATCCTATTGTTTATATTAACCTAATATAATAATGATAATTTTTAATAATTTTTAATATTTAAACAACTCTTGACCTAATGGAACTAATTTCTAAATAGCTGAGAAAACTAGATATTTTTGGATAAGAAGTCAGATTATAGGCTGATAGTCAATCAGCATTCAGAACGAAAACTGGAGCAATAATGACTCTAATTTTATTTACTATTTTAGCATATTCTAGTAACTCTTTTATTCTAGAGATGAATAAAGGGAAAAATGCTGTCCTAAATTCAAAAGATGCAGTAATTAATCCAGAAGATGTATATAATAATAATAGTATTTTATAGGGTTATACGTTTCATTCCACTGAACTTCTCTTTGCTGCTGGACTTGTCGACAGTATGGGTTAGCCTATTCCAAACGATAACAATAGAATATTTTCAATCAGTTTTTACTTTTGCAAAAAATAATATGGAGAAAATAATTGTGTAAATATTCCAAGCATTATATGCGGAAACCGCACTTCCAATATTTCCTTAGTAATCTAAACATCATATTAATAGTTGGACGTGCCACAGAAATATTTAGATATTACATATTGTATAGACGAGAATTATCTTATTAATAATCCTGAAATAAGAATCTAGGGATCATCAAAATTAGAAAATTTCACTTAATTCGGAGGGCTAGTATAAAGATGTTAAAATAACACTTTGAATTCAAGTATTTATTTCTTAAACCATTAGATTGTGCATCAACTGATGAGATTGATAGATATATCACAAATTCAAATCTTTTTTACTCATACTCTTTCCATTATTTCAATAAAGAATAAGAGGACTCCCCATATGAAAAAGCATAAAGCATTGATTCGACTCCGATTTTTAATAAGGTTGGAAAGTATATTCGAATATATCATAAATATTCTCAAAGTCTTATAGAATATAACCCTTTTTACTCCTTTCCCAAGCTAAAATAGATTGAAGGTATTGAATATGAAAATACCTCTATTGACAGTACATTAAATTATGAAGATCATAATAATATTGCCTTGTTTGAATTAAATTTAGATGCTAAGAAAAAAATACATTTTATAACCTACTAGACGTTGATGGATGTCGCCGCTAAAATTGGAGGACTATTCACAATCTTAAGAGTCATCTTTGACGTGGTTCTATTTCCTTTCTAACGCATTAGTTATAGACTTCATTTAGCCAATTGTTTATCAAAATAATAAAACAATTTTATGAACAATGATAAAAATAAAGTTTAGGATGAACTTAACATTTATAAATTGATAACTTCATCCGTCTCCAGACCATTACATTTAAGTTAGTCAATCTTAATAGATAATTTTCTTGATATTACTGAGATATTGATTAATCCAATAAGAATAACAAGATAAATGGAGGATTTGTAAGGATCAATAAAACGATATGATATTTTAAATTCTCGAAATAAAAATATTGTTTCAGAATCCCCTGAGGAATGTGTATATGATAAAAATGATGGGTTTATATGTATGAAATCTATGAGTCCGTTATCAATAAATGAAGAGTTCAGAGTAGGAAGCCAAATGAATATTAAAGTTCCATAACTTAGAGTAAATTGACTATGTACACTCAAAATCACTCTTACATTAGACACTAATGTAGTTTACCCTTGTCCCCAATATCTAATAACTAAATTATCTGATGATATTAATAAAGTCTTAAATCGCAGCCTTAATGAAAAAGACTTATTGTTGGAAAATGGAAAAGACCAATTAGATATGAATGATCTGAGATTAGAAATAAATTAAATTGATCCTGATTATACTACAATAGATTAATATATCATCTACTTGAAATTACTACAAATGAGATTAACACAAATTATCTCAATCGGGTGAGCATATATTGAATATTTAATGCCCCCATTAAAAATAAAACACTCATAAAATAAAATATTTAGTCCATTTTTAATTGCACTGCAATAAAATAGAATTAACAGTTAGCACATTTTTCAATTTTATTTTTTTCAAATCATTTGTGTACCAAAATTATCTGCATTTCTTCAAAATCACATTATTATATAACACTAAACACACATAAAATATAAAGATACTCATTTCGTTTTCTTTATCAAAAAAGTTTGTTTTCTTAATGAAGAAATACTCAAATCAATCACTCTAGCAATATTTATAGTAAATTGTTATCAAATGCAGTTATTTTATTGGTTTATAAAAAAAAATCCAATCTTTTATGAGCCTTATCATTAAATTTAATTTTAATTTGGGTAAATACTACTGTATAATTTTCTTGGTTGAAAGGCTAATTAATTGGTATTTGACTTTTATTCCTATTATCTTATGGTGTAATAATACATTTAAGAAAAATCCTATAATGGATATTGGTTTAGACAGGAAAAAAACAATTAGATTGTTCCTAGATTAATACTCTATATGAGAAAATAAATTATAGTTAATCACTGGAGTACAAACTAAAAAATCACAGATAATAATATTGGAAAATATAATTTTAACAAAGAATTTCCTATTGAATTAATGTCGAATTTAAAGTTGGATAAAGAAATGATTATGATCATTCCTGCATTTATTATTAGATATCAAGGACTGAATTCCCTTTAATACAGTCATTTTTTTTATGTTATCCATTTTAGTCGTCTTAATTTAAGATTTTTCCAGTCTACTTGTTTCTATCAGTAAGATAGACTTTTTATATTGAAAACACTTAAGGATTCCAATCAGGAGGTTCAATTAAAACTGGATCCGTACTTTAAGGAACTGCAGCAACAATCTATATTTGAAAAGTAATTAATGGATCCTCTTTGAAGCAACATGAATCCGCTAAAAATATCATATAATTTACACTCTAGATTAACTTTAATCAATATTGAATACACTGAATTTACTAATCGGCCATTAGCTGATGGTTATATTTCTTAAGGTGATTTATTATTTTGTAAAAGAAACCGTACGTTTTTTTAACTCTTTCTTCTTGGTCCAACACCTTAGATCTCATTCTTTTGAACTATCCAGTTTTAGAGTTTTTAGCGACCCGAATCATCAGTTAATGTCAAAGTATTCAAAAAAATAATAGAAATTGAAGTAATTTGCTCATCTAAACTCGAATTATCAATATTTATTTCTAAATGCGCTACATCTCCTGGAAGATAATTATGTTTGTCTATACTACAATTGATGAGACAAACCTATAAATAGAACATATTTAATACCCCATCACTTGGAAAGCAGCAATCCTAAGAATGAATCTACATATTCCCAGTCAAAGGTTGTGTATTTTGTCTTAATGGTTCTCTTATGATTAATCTTTAAATGCTCATTATACAATTTAAAGAGGACTTCTTAGATTAAATAGCTGCTTTAACTTTGTAACTAATCTATGCTACGTCATTTTAATAAAATGAACTAGGAAGATGAGATAAAAGTTAAAATTAAAAAGGAAATACGAATTATCCTAATGGGAGTGAAGGACTTTCAAAATTATGTATTACCAACTTGTGTTAATAAATATAAGACTTTCCAGTATATGTAGAAGTAGATGTACTTTCAGTTGTGTTCCCATCTGAGTCTGATGATGTGTTTGTTGTTGTTTCTGTCCATTAACATTTCTCTTTGCCAGAGACTCTCAAGTACACAACGCAACCTGGAAATCCATCTTTAATTACATTCAAATAGATATTTCCTATATATGTAAATGGACCTAGAATACCGATTACGACTTCGCCAGAGAAATAATATGATTTATCAGTTTTAATTAATATATCTCCAAATTATGAGGCTGATATTCCAGATTTCCTTTTTTTTGAGTTACTAGCCTAATTATTTCCCATTTTATTTTAATTATCTTGAAAAAATTCTATAAAAAATCATTGAATTTACAAATTTTGTTAATATTTCTAATTCTTAAATATTTATATTAATTTTAATTTTTATCTTACAAAATGATTTTCAAGATATTAATATTCTTCCTGTGTTGCTGTGTGTTATTAACTTAGTTATTATTAAATTTATGATCTGATATAATATAGAAGATATTTGATTTAATTAAAAATTAATTATTCAAATTCTTATGGTTTGGTTCTAAATTATGAATAATAAAGGACAGCAAGTTTGAGCATTTTATTAAGCAATTTTAAACATTATTGAAATTAGCTGTATATTAAGAAATGTTTAAAAACCTCACAAAGTTAGCCTGCTGCTTAGGATTAGTTAATGGGGCCTTTGTAGTTTGTTCTTAGAATGTCCATTCTCAGGATAGATTGCAGCATTACAATTTTCTAAGTGAAAATGAATTACATAACTTATTGAAAAAACATGAAAACTTATCTATTCTCAATCGAAATTAGACTGAGCACATTTTATCTTTGATGAGAGAAGCTAATACTGATATTGTGGTAATTTCATAAAAGATATTTTAGTCATTCAGAAAGAATGCGGATAGATTGATTAGGATCTTAATGGAATAAGCTTTGGCTCAATTATAAAAAAAGAATTCTGTAAAACAATCGCCTTTGGGGTTTTATACTGCAAATGAAGTGAAATTCTCAGATGAAGAGTAGATATTTTATTTATTTTAGAATCTGTATTGTAAGTATACTTAGGTCAGGAAATGCATTCTTAAATGAAGGTTTAAGAGTGATTTAAGGGGCATCAATTGGATAAATATTGATTCAAAGGAACGAAGAGACATCGATGCCAAAATATTTCTTTGAGAAACTTCCAGAGAATATTCATGAGTAATAAATTATTTTGGTTGATCCAATGCTCGGAACAGGTGGAAGTGCAAGTATGGCATTAAAGATATTATAAAATTATGGTGTAAAGGAAGAAAATATTATGTTTTTAACTTTGGTTAGTTGTGAATAAGGATTGAGTAAAGTCTTTAAAGAACATCCAAATATTAAAATCATTACAGCTCAAGTTGATCCAATTCTGATAAAGGAGATTAATTATCTGGCTCCTGGAATAGGAGATTTTGGGGATAGGTATTTTGGAACAGTTAAAAAGCATACACGTGGTTTATAAGTTTGATTTATTTGTTTTATCGTTATAAATAACATATTAATCATTAAAATATATGTGTAGATAATTATTAAAGAGACATAGAAATAATTTCTCAATGCTAGGTATATTTTATAATGTTAAATAAATAATTAAATCATGTCTTGATATATAAATATATTTATTAGAATGATATGTGATATAAAAATGATTTATAGAATTCAATAACTCAATATTAAAATTAATGAGCACCGACTTTAAATCTTAAATGACCGATGCGCCTGTTGATTTGGTTTGCTAACAGCATAAAAATAAGCCAGAAAAGGTTATAATGGATCAAAACAAAGACCCCTAATTAGAGACTAGCCTGCAATTTGTGTTTGCAAGAACAACAAAATATTAATGTCTAAGATTATGAAGCAGTAGTCCGAAATTTTGAAAGAAGGAAAAGAAAAAGAGATGTGAAAACACAGATATTATTGTTGGGGGGGAAAGTTTAGAATATGCAAAAAACTTAGAAAAGAATATTGATAGTGTTATGGAAAAAATAAATGATTATTTTGAATCAATGAAAGAAATAGTATAGAAATTAACAGATTCTTTAAGAAGTGAAAGAGAAAAAAACTTAAAATACAGTTTCTTTGAGGAATTGGAAATCTATATTTAAACAAAGGATTAATCAACAGAAGAAAACGAAAAGGTAAAGCAAATAAGATCAAAAATAATCAATTAATTTGGAAAATTGAAAAGAAAATTGGAAACATTTCCATCTAACCTAGAGAAAATGTCAGAAAATGTCCTAAAGAAAACTCAAGAATTTTATAGAAGGAATTATGATGAATTAAATAAACCTTTAAATTTAGATTTGATTACGACGGTAAAATAAAGAGATCCTTGCTATACTTTAACCTTTAATAGTGAATTTCTTTTTACTGGATGTGGTAAACAAATTAAAGTTTGGAACTTCAATTAAGGAAATATGTAAGAGCATGCAAAACTTAATGGTCATGCATTATCTGTAACACGAATTGTGACTAGTAGCAAAGTAAAGAACAGTTTTATATCTGCAGCAGAATGCGGATCTCTAATAATTTGGAAGTAAAAGAACGAAAAGGAATGGGAATTTTTAAAGAAACCAGCATAATGGACTAATTGCATAGTTTTAAATAAGAATGAAACAGAATTGATTTTAGCTAGTGCTAATTGCGAAATCGATTTTTGGAGCGTGGATTTCAATTAAAATTAATTAATTTATAATTATTCATTGGAGAACACTCATTAAAATACAATATTTGATCTAACCTTAAATAAAAAAGAAAATAAGATGGTTACTTGTGGAGCAGACAATAAAATTCTAATTTGGACAAAGGATGACTAAGCTCAAAAATGGAAATTTGTTCAAGAAATTAATTAAATAACTTATGGTACCAAAGTTGCTTTCATTTCTGATGACTAGTTTGTTTGGATGGGCTGCGATTAAAAAACTAATGATTAAATATTTTTCTTTAAATCGCAAAGAGATGGCAAGTTTGAAAATAATTAATAGAAAGCCTTCTAATTGGATATTGATGAAGAATAATATGTTGATTATCATCTTAATCCCATCACCTATAATTAATTATAGAAAGTATTTCTGGTGAGATTTAAGCGACATATTTATATTATCAAGATCACTGATGCCGATCTTCAAATTGTTACAAAATAAAAATTTGATACAAACTTGATTTTTGCAACGTTATCTAATGATGGCAAATACCTGATAGCCTATGTTGAAGACCTCAAGAGATATCAAATCCGCGAAATCAAATGGTGATGAATATTTATCACAATTCAATATCATCATTACATTTATTATTTAATTATATTATTGCTAAAATTTATTCTAAGATTGAATATTTTTCGTTATTATCAGAATAATTTATTTCTTATTTATTAATCATAAACGTATTATTATTCAACCCTGTCTGGAGAAGATAAAACATATATATATTAAATCATAGATTCTTTTCGAAATTATTATACTCTTTTTAATTATTCTATCAATTTCTCCATTCGCTTCCTCCATTTTTACATTTATCATCACTAATTATTTTCTTATTAAATGTATTGAAATAACTTTTTATTTATGAAAACTAATGAAAAAAGGATGAAAACAAAATAAATTATTATAAAATGAGAATAAATAATTCTGATTAAATATCCAAACTTTAGTTT